AAGTAGTTGCACTACACATAGTGAGTAGGCTATTGCTGTATTCCAGGGAAGATCGAACATAACCAAGGTATAGAGCTCTCAGAGTTTGTTTGTCTGATCCCCATGAACTGCTTGCGAGTTTCTTTAAAAGTTGAAGTCTTCTTTTCGCCTTGTTCTTTATGCTCTCCACTTGGCTTTCCATTGTTAGACTTTGGTCAATTTCTCTTTCTTTACATGTCGAAGATTTCGACAATACTGAGTTTTGATGGGAAAAAAACCCACTGGAACGCGTGTGGGCAATTGTGCATTAAAAATGTGTATCAAAATTTCACATACAAATTTTTATGCAACATTTTGACACTTTTTCTGAACGTGTTTGGTCCCCTTTAGCCATCGCTCTTTCCTCTATTAACAAACAAACAAACAAGAAAAGTTCACTGTGCCGTGCGAGCGATGGGCGCGCAAATAAAGAGTAAAACACCATTCTCGCTATAGTCGAGTACGAACGTAACCTTTTCCCCCTTTACCCTTCATTTGGTTTTAAATTGAGTCAAACGAGGTGCTCCGTGAAGGACCAGAGTTACGCCAGAGTCTTGGATGTTTTGATACGTCATGTCTATGGTCAATACAAACTTTCAGCCTTTCTGCTGATGTAAATATCGTCTTCTACTCGAACGAGGAGCTTAATGACAAAATATGTCGCCTCCAACATTTGAACAACCACTTGTCTTCCCCTTTTCTTTTCACTTAAATCACGAGATAAAATTTTAATCTAAATTTCTATAAAACTATTTTTCTCAAAACACACTGTACTGTAATCAATTGATTTCATTTATTGCTGTTCCGACTATTAAAAAAAAATTATTATTAATTAAACAGTATGCAGATTGTGAATTAAGTGATCAATAAAAGTTGTTTTTGTTGGGTTTTTGTTCGGATTTTTCCCGGGTTGTTGTTTATTGTTTTGACATTTCTCACTTTTTGGATATAACACGTATTGTCAATTAAGCCATTCATTCCTTTGTTTGAGTTTGTGCAAGTTTGGGAGACATCTATTTATAACGAGACGATAGAGGTGCCTCTGTGTTATTGAGTGACTGTGACTTTGAGGACGTCTTGGTATTTGTGTTTTCTTCTTGAGTTTGAATTTTGTGGTTCCTTTTAGCGACATGTTCGTATTTCATGTCGGCAATTTCTTGATCTCATTGAGAGGAGAAAGGGTTAGGGGTCAATACAGGTAAATATAAGAGAGGGGGAGGAGGAGGAGGAGGAGGAGGAGAGAGG